TCCGCTCTCCCTGGATCCTGCATTCACTATATCCGCTCTCCCCGGATCCTGCATTCATATATATCCGCTCTCCCCCGGATCCTGCATTCACTATATTCGCTCTCCCCGGATCCTGCATTCACTATATCCGCTCTCCCCGGATCCTGCATTCACTATATCCGCTCTCCCCGGATCCTGCATTCACTATAACCGCTCTCCCTGGATCCTGCATTCACTATATCTGCTCTCCCTGGATCCTGCATTCACTATACCTGCTCTCCCTGGATCCTGCATTCACCATATCTGCTCTCTCTGGATCCTGCATTCACTATATCTGCTCTCCCCCGGATCCTGCATTCACTATATCCGCTCTCCCTGGATCCTGCATTCACTATATCTGGTCTCCCCGGATCCTGCATTCACTATATCCGCTCTCCCCGGATCCTGCATTCACTATATCTGCTCTCCCCGGATCCTTCTAGGATTTACTATATAAAATAGCATATCGTCTGCGTATGCTGCCACCTTATGTTCCACGTCCCCTATCTTTATTCCTACTATATCTATACACCGTCTTACCCTTGCCAGGACGGGTTCTAGTGATAGCACAAACAACAATGGACATAGTGGTCATTCCAGTCTAGTACCGTTATGCATTTTAAACGACTGGTCAAGGGATCCGTTGACCTTAACCGTCATTGTTGGACCATTGTAAAGCCCTTTTATCCACTTCAACATTTTGGGCCCTAATCCTAAGACTTCTGATGTATCAAAAAAATCCGCAGTTGACACTGTCAAAAGCCTTCTCGGCATTTATTGACAGAAATCTTGTCGTCTGTTTCTCTCTTTTTACTCTTTGTAAGAGGAGCAATGATCGTACACCATTGTCCCGTCCCTCTCTTCCAGGGATAAATCCTAACTGATCCAGGTGTATCCACTCCGGCATCAGCTCCTTCAGTCTGGTTGTCAAAACCTCAGCATATAGTTTTGTATCAATATTTAGTAAGAATATGGGTCTATAGCTAGCGAGCTGAGCTATCCTTGCCTTCTTTGAGTATGACCGTTATATGTGCTTGCAGTGATTCTTCCCTCATTTGCATCCCCTCTCCTATTGCTGTCACGTACCTGATAGAAGTCTGAATTGATGAGGTCAGCCTCTCTTGTATCTCCAACCCAGGCCCTACTGCAGGTGGAACAGATGGTGCTGAGGGACAGGAGGAACATGAGTGCCTGTGGGTATTGATTGTAGAACTTGCTGTTGGTGGTGTAACCTCGGTGAATCAAGCAGAGCATCCAGTCAGGAACAGAGGAGATGCCGGAATGGCCAGCTGAGGTTAAGGAGGCACTCCACTGGAACTGCAAGATCTGGGTATGTGGCTTGCCGGAACTTCTGATAAGCGTGAGGCCCGGGACACACCATGGCAACTGCAGCTGATATAATAGATAGCCAGGACAAGCACTCGGCAGGACTGTAGAGCCAAACTGGAGCCAGAAGAGTAGTCAGAGTAATAGCCAGGGTCAGCAACGAGCAGGCAATGAGGTACTGGAACAACAGACAAGGTCAGGAGGAAGCCAGGATCAGAAACAGATGAGCAGAAGCATAAACAGAATCCAAGAGCAGGTCAATGGCAAGCCGGGTCGGTAACGGATACACACAGGATACAGCAGGACACAGGGAATTAGTTGAAGACCAGTCAGCATTGACAGAGAGTGCGAGAGCCTCCTTTAAATAGTCCGTCTGGCGCCATAAACTGTGTGCATGCTCCCGTGTGCTTACTCCCATGTGCGCACATTCTTGCACGCATGCACGAGCCTATGCTCATTTCTATTAGCAATGCACCCGTGCTCATTTCTATGTGCGATATTGCGCACTTCTATGTGCCAGTCGTCGTACAGGAATTCCCTTACAATTGCATTCATGTAGCCACACATTTTAGGGACCAGAAGATCTCTAAATTTTTTTAAATACTCCACAGTGTATCCTCCCGGACCAGGGCTCTTTCCTAGGTCTGTGTTCTTTAAAGCCAAACTAATTTACTCCGGAGTAAAAGTTCTCTCTAGGGCCTCTAGTTTTTCTTCTGTTATTCTTGGCATCTCTACCTCCTTAAGTATTTCTGCCTTTTTCTCTCTCTTATCATCCTCAATTTATTTTTGATTTCTAGGGCTCACGTCATAAAGACTGCTATAGTATTCTTGGAATCTGTTAGCGATATCAGTGGTGGAGTACACCAATTCTCCTTTATCGGTTTGAATTTTATCTATAAAAGTTTTGGATTTCTTTTCCTTTAACCTCCTCATAAGATGTTTTCCAGGTCTATTCCCCCACTGATATCTTTCTTTTGATACCCTATCAGGGGTGGACTGACCATTTGCAAACTTGGGCACTGCCCGAGGGCCCGGGGTCAGTAGGGGGCCCCATGAGACGCCCCTGGTACCTTTTTCATAGGCTTTTTTGAGTTTGGGCAAGGACATGGGCCCCATTATCCCCTATTGCCCGGGGGCCCCATGAGTTGTCAGTCCGCCCCTGTACCCTATTAAATATCCTCAACTCCTGTTGAGTAAAATCTTTTAATCCCTCTCTTTTAAGGATTATCTTCTGATATATACCATGTCTCTTTTCTTTTTATGTCTCTGTCCTAACTTCTATAGCTCCATCATCACCCCCTTTATCCCCCCCCCCCCTTCTTTTTCTTAGCCCCTGTCACTATCAGTTATTCCCCTAATATATGCCGTATGAGCCTCCCACACTGTGGCTACAGAAACCTCCTTGGTCTCATTAAATTCAAAAATTGCTCAATTTCCTGCCATATCTTTTTCTGTATATCAGGATCTTGTATGAGCATCTCATTTAGTCTACAAGTATTTATTTTGTCCTGCTCCACTCCAACCCGAAGTCTCATTGTGACAGGAGCATGATCAGAGATAGACATAACATCTATATTGGAGCTAACCAGCAACTCCAATTGTCTATACTCTGTCAATATATAATCCAGTCTTGAGTACGTTTTGTGTACTGGAGAGAAGGAAGTGTAGTCTCTTTCTCTTGGATGTTTTACTCTCCAAGTATTGGTCAATTGACCTTGATGTAATAACTTCTTCAGTAATTTTAATTTCCTACCACCCTCTCTCAGCGTATCAGATAGCGTATCCAGATGCAGATCCAGACACAAATTGAAATCTCCTGCCACAACCAGACTACCCCTTACTATATATTCAGAGATTTTTCTTAACATGCCCTCCAAGAATGTTACTGGGTTTTTTTATTCGGACAGTAGATATTAGCTAATGTATACTCCATTCCTTGTAGTCTTCCCTTCAGGAATATAAACCGGCCCTCTGGGTGGTCCTCCAATCTCCCCTCCAGGGTTAAGAGCATTTTTTGAAAACCCAATTGCTACTCCTTTAGCCCTTCTTAACTGGGGAATCAGCATAATACCACGTTGGATAATACTTTGAGTGTAACTTGACGTATGTATCATAGGTTATGTGTGTCTCTTGTAGAAACACATCTATGGAGTGTTGGTATATTTCCCTAAGGATCTTATGTCTTTTTGTCGGGGAGTTTAATCCTTTCACATTATAAGTCATGAACTTGATCAAGCTCGTTTCTGATGTTCTTTCTCTATCTTCTCCACTTTCCCAAAACAGGGACACAGATATAGGCAACTTAAGATATGGACCTCCACGTCAGCCTTCCAAATATACCTGTAGGGGGACTCTGTGCATTACTGGTGGTCTGGGGAGTCTCTAGATCTCTTATGTTTGGTGTCTCATCCCAGGAGGGGTGGTATCCTTCCAGGGCTCAAAATATTCTTCATCCGTAGAGCCTCCCAGCTCTCCCGGACCTTTAAGACTCCCTTGCAGTATGGGAGGACCTCTCTCACCAGGCCTCCTACTCCTGGACCGCCAGAATCTCAGGGCTCCTTATGGCTGCCACCTACAGACACTCTGGCCGATCTGGGGACCTGGATCCAGGAAGGTCCTGCGCCCTCACCAGCTACTACCGGGGGACCGGTCACCTCCTACTCCTCACCCATCAGGGCTCCACAGGTTAGTCCAGGTCGATCAAGGCAGTCAGGGACAGGGCTTCATTTGATCATGGCGGGCGCCCGGAGCTCATGGTGCCTTGTTTAGGCTCCTCCCCCTGAATGTCCTATGGTCACTTGTTCTGTGCTAAAGGGTCTGCAAGTCTGAACCTCTTCATTATCAGAGATCACATGACTCAGAGCCTAGCTTTGTGGTTGTGTGAAGAGCATGCCCCTCCCAGTCCCCATTGGTTCCTGCTCTTCTGACAAGGATGGGGAAATGTAGAAGTGATCTGGGGGGAGGACCAAAGAACGCCCATCAGGGATCCACAGGTTAGTCCAGGTCGATCAAGACAGTCAAGGACAGGGCTTCATTCGATCATGGCGGGCGCCTAGAGCTCAAGCTGCTCACAGCACCATGTTTAGGCCCCTACCCCTGAATGTCCTTTGGTCACTTGTTCTGTGCTAAAGGGTCTGCAAGTCTGAACGTTGAACCTCTTCATTATCAGGGATAAAATGACCCAGTGCCTAGGCTTGTGGTTGTGTGAAGAGCATGCCCCTCCCAGTTCCCATTGGTTCCTGCTCTTCTGACAAGGCTGGGGAAATGTAGAAGTGATCTGGGGGGAGGACAAAAGGACTTTTTACTAAAGAGGGGAAGTCACAGCTGGTTGGGACATCTACAGAGAACATCTACTCACTAAAACCTGCTTGATCCAGATGGAATCTTGATTTGATTTGATACCTAGGCCTATGGTCTCTTGTTCTCTACAAAAGGTTCTCCAAGTTTGAACCTCTTCATTATCACCTACCTGATCCAGATGGAACCTTGATTTAGGTGAACTAACCATCTTGTATCTATTGATCATGTTTTTATATTTTCTAGGACATGCCATCAAGGAACCCTCACAGGATTGTCTCACTTTACATCTAAGCTGTAAAATGGAAGATGAGGACATCACAGGAGATTGTGCAGGAGAAACAACAATGAGCTCAGCTATGGATGGTGGACTTCAAAGTGTGGATGGACCATCAATTCCCTCTGACTCTGAGCAATCTCTCACTGTGAGGGATGGTGCCGGAATTCTGGGGGAGGAGAAACTTTCCTGTTCTGAATGTGGGGAAAGCTTTAGCTCTGAATCAAATCTTGCTGAACATCAGAGATCTCACACGGGTGGGAAGCTTCATTCCTGTTCTGAGTGCGGGAAATGCTTTACATGGAAATCAAGACTTGTTCTACATCAGAGATCTCACACAGGGGAGAAGCCTTATTTCTGCAATGAGTGCGGGAAATGTTTTTCAGAGAAGTCCAATCTTTGCAAACATCAGAGGATTTGCAGAGGGGAGAAGTCTTATTCCTGCTCTGAGTGCGGGAAATGTTTTTCAGAGAGGTTCAGACTTTACAGACATCAGAGGATTCACACGGGGGATAGCTCTTATTCCTGCTCTGAGTGCGGGAAACGTTTTTCAGAAAAATCCATACTTTACACACACCAGAGGACTCACACAGGAGAAAAGACGTTTTTCTGTTCCGAGTGTGGGAAATATTTTTCACAGAAAGCCCATCTTTTCGTACATCAGAGGTCTCACGAGGGGAAGAAACTGTATTCCTGTCCTGAGTGCGGTAAAAGTTTTTCTGTGAAGTCCAATCTTAACAGACACCAGAGGATTCACACGGGGAGAAGCCGTATGCTTGTCCTGAGTGTGGGAAAAGTTATTCACAATTGTCCCATCTTTACAGACATCAGAAGTTTCACAAAGGGAAAAAGCTCTATTCCTGTCCCGAGTGAGGGAAATGTTTTACAGAGAACACAGACCTTGTTAAACATGAGAGATCTCACACAGGGATGAAGCCTGATTGTTGCTCTGAGTGCGGGAAACATTTTTCAAGAAATCCCATCTTTACACGCATCAGAAATTGCACACTGATGAGAAGCCTTATTCCTGTTCTGAGTGCGGAAATGTTTTTCAGAGACGTTGAGTCTTTTACAGACACCAGAGGATTCACACAGGGAGAGAAGCCGTATTCCTGCCCTGAATGCAAGAAATCTTTGAAAGCTTCTTTGTTCGACATCAGAGATCTCACACAAGAGTGAGGCCTTATTTCTGCCCTGAGTGCGGGAAATGTTTTTCACAGGCGTCCTATCTTTGCACACATCGGTGGTGCAAAACAGGAGAAGCCGTATTCCTGTTCTGAGTGAGGGAATTTTTTTCAAGGAAATCAAACATTTATTTATTTATTTCAGGTACTTATATAGCGCTGTCAATATACGCAGCACTTTACATATATATATTGTACATTCACATCAGTCCCTAACCCTCAAGGGGCGTAAGATCTAAGGTCCCTAACTCACATTCATACATACACATACTAGGGACAATTTAGACAGGATCCAATTAACCTACCAGCATGTCTTTGGAGCGTGGGAGGAAACCCATACAAGCACAGGGAGAACATGCAAACTCCATGCAGGAGGCACCATGGTCAGGAATCTAACCCATGACCCATTTACTGCAAGGCAGACGTGCTAACCACTAAGCCACTGTGCCGCCCGCAAAAATCAAAGATCTCACACATGTGAGAAGCCGTATTCCTGTCCTGAGTGCGGGAAATGTTTTCTACGGGTGTCCCATCTTCACACACATCGGAGGTGTCACACAGGTCAAAGCCATATTCCTGTCCTGGGTGCAGAAAATGTTTTCTACGGGTGTCCCATCTTCACACACATCGGAGGTGTCACACAGGTCAAAGCCGTATTCCTGTCCTGGGTGCGGAAAATCTTTTCTACGGGTGTCCCATCTTCACACACATCGGAGGTGTCACACAGGTCAAAGCCGTATTCCTGTCCTGGGTGCGGAAAATCTTTTCTACGGGTGTCCCATCTTCACACACATCGGAGGTTTCACACAGGTCAAAGCCGTATTCCTGTCCTGGGTGCGGAAAATGTTTTCTACGGGTGTCCCATCTTCACACACATCGGAGGTGTCACACAGGTCAAAGCCGTATTCCTGTCCTGGGTGCGGAAAATGTTTTCTACGGGTGTCCCATCTTCACACACATCGGAGGTGTCACACAGGTCAAAGCCGTATTCCTGTCCTGGGTGCGGGAAATCTTTTCTACGGGTATCCCATCTTCACACACATCGGAGGTTTCACACAGGTTGAAGCCATATTCCTGTCCTGGGTGCGGAAAATGTTTTCTACGAGTGTCCCATCTTCACACACACGGAGGTGTCACACAGGTCAAAGCCGTATTCCTGTCCTGGGTGTGGGAAATCTTTTCTACGGGTATCCCATCTTCACACACATCGGAGGTTTCACACAGGTTTAAGCTGCATTCCTGTCCTGGGTCCGGGAAATGTTTTCTACGGGTGTCCCATCTTCACACACATCGGAGGTTTCACACAGGTTTAAGCTGCATTCCTGTCCTGGGTGCAGGAAATGTTTTCTAAGGGTGTCCCATCTTCACACACATCGGAGGTGTCACACAGGTCAAAGCCGTATTCCTGTCCTGGGTGCGGGAAATGTTTTTTACGGGTATCCCATCTTCACACACATCGGAGGTTTCACACAGGTTTAAGCTGCATTCCTGTCCTGTGTGCGGGAAATGTTTTTCACAGAAATCAGACCCTTGGTGTACATCAAAGATCTCAAAAACGGCAGAAGCTGTATTTCTGCCCTGAGTGTAAAAATGCCATAAATGGAATCCCGACTCTTTTTTTTTTTTTTTTTTTTTATACATCAAAGATCTCATACAGACAAGTGACCATACATTTGTTTTGAGTATGGAAAATTTTCACTGCCAGTGTGTCCTTCATTGGAGTATGCGTCTTGCATGGAGTACCATTCTGCCCAGGGGCGGACTGACAACTCATGGGGCCCCCGGGCAATAGGGGATCATGGGGCCCCTGTGGCCTTGCACAAACTCAAAAAAGCCTATGAAAAAGGTACCAGGGGCATCTCATGGGGCCCCCTGCTGACCCCGGGCCCTCGGGCAGTGCCCCAATGGTCAGTCCACCCCTGATTCTGCCTATTATGTGCTTCACCATGTGTTAGCTTGTTTGCCTTTCAGCTGCATCTCTCCCTATGCAGTGCCTATGGTGCAATGCTTCCTTGCCTGGCGCAGTGTCTTCGAACTTAACCCCTTCATGCCTAAGGGTAAAACAAATCTTAATGCCTAAGAAAAATTTTACAACTTTGACACGTGTTAGTAAAACCGTCCATATCATCACAGCTACTTTGTACATCCAGGGGAATTATACCACATGGTTTTTATTTCAGGACAAATTGGGCTTTCATTTGGTGGTAAATGGGAATTGATATCTCCTGATTTATTTATTTATTTTTATTATCAAAGGAAAACTGGCCCAAAATTATAAAAGAAAAAAAAATATTAATTTTTTTTGTTTAATTTAGCTGTGTGTTTCTTGTTACTACCGTAACCTACCGCCAAAGAACAACACAAAATACATTTTCCAGCTCTTGACGATCACAGCGACACCATATATGTGTGTTATTTGTACCTGCAGTACAGCCCAGAAACAATAGTGCGCTTTTTGTTTTGTTTTTTTCACCTAAAACACACTGACACTAACTGAAACTGATACCAATTAAAAGAAAAAAAAAAAAATCCTGACCTTTGACCCTGACCTTGACCCAAACACTAACCCTGGCACTGAACTAGATCAAACCTTGATCTGGGTATTTTTTCTTTATTTTTTAATATTTATCTTTTTTACAGTTTTTTTTTTCTTTGTCTCTGCAAGGAGATAGAGAGATACAATGTACCGTATTTTTCGCTCCATAAGACGCACCTAGGTTTTAGAGGCGAAAAACAAGAAAAAAAAAAATATTCTGAACCAATGGACTGCAGACATAGTACAGGGGATGACCAGAGACTGCGGACACAGTACAGGAGATGACCAGAGACTGCGGACATAGTACAGGAGATGACCAGAGACTGCGGACATAGTACAGGAGATGACCAGAGACTACACAGTACAGGGGATGACCAGAGACTGCGGACACAGTACAGGAGATGACCAGAAACTGCGGATACAGTACAGGAGATGACCAGAGACTGCGGACACAACACAGGAGATGACCAGAGACTGCGGGCATAGTACAGGAGATGACCAGAGACTGCGGACATAGTACAGGAGATGACCAGAAACTGCGGATACAGTACAGGAGATGACCAGAGACTGCGGATACAGTACAGGATAGTATGACCAGAGACTGCGGACATAGTACAGTACAGAGACTGCGGACATAGTACAGGACCCAGCGGATAGACAGCGGACATAGTACAGTACAAGAGATGACCAGAGACTGCGAACACAGTACAGGGGATGACCAGAGACTGCAGACACAGTACAGGAGATGACCAGAGACTGCGGACACAGTACAGGAGATGACCAGAGACTGCGGACACAGTACAGGGATGGTCAGAGACTGCGGACACAGTACGGGAGATGACCAGAGACTGCGGACACAGTACAGGGGATGACCAGAGACTGCGGACACAGTACAGGAGATGACCAGAGACTGCGGACACAGTACAGGAGATGACCAGAGACTGCGGACACAGTACAGGAGATGACCAGAGACTGCGGACACAGTACAGGAGATGACCACAGACTGCGGACACAGTACAGGGGATGACCAGAGACTGCGGACACAGTACAGGGATGGTCAGAGACTGCAGACACAGTACAGGAGATGACCAGAGACTGCGGACACAGTACAGGGGATGACCAGAGACTGCAGACAAACTAGAGGAGACAGTCAGAGACTGCGGACACAGTACAGGAGATGACCAGAGACTGCGGACACAGTACAGGAGATGATCAGAGACTGCGGACACAGTACAGGAGATGATCAGAGACTGCGGATACAGTACAGGAGATGATCAGAGACTGTGGACACAGTACAGGAGATAATCAGAGACTGCGGACACAGTACAGGAGATGACCAGAGACTGCGGACACAGTACAGGAGATGATCAGAGACTGTGGACACAGTACAGGAGATGACCAGAGTGTGGACATAGTACAGGAGATAACCAGAGACTGCAGACAGTGCAGGGGATGACCAGAGACTGAGGACCTTTGGGGAGGGAGGGGGAGCGGGTACCTGAATTTGACAGGTACCCGCTCCCACTTCTGCGGAGTTGTCCTTCCCTCTTCTTCCCGCGCCAGCTTCTGTGACAGCCGGGTGCCCACTGCGCATGCGCGAGATGCGCTGCGCTTTGTGAATGGCCCGGAGCCTTCTGGGACCTGTCATATGTCCCAGAAAACACTGGACCATTCACAAAGCGCAGCGCATGCGCATTGGGCACCCGGCTGTCTCAGAAGCCAGTGTGGGAAGACTGTGCAGCGGCGCTGGAGCGAGGAAGAGGTAAGGTCCTGCAGGAGAGAACAGCTGAGCGGCCGGCCTGGTATTCTGACATGGTGGCGGCAGAAATACCAGACCGGACGCTTTATATTCGCTCCATTTATCTGAGAACAGGCCTGGCAGGCCAGGAAAGGAAGGGGGGGAGTGAGCATCCCCCCTCCCCTAACCGTACTAGGCCACATGTCCTCAACATGGTGAGGGAGCTTTTTTTGTAGGGGGGGCTCCCCCCTTGTCTCCATGTTGAGGGCATGTGGCCTGGTATGGTTCAGGAGGGGGCTCTCGCTTATCCCCTCCTCTTTCCTGGCCTGCCAGGCCTGTGCTCACATCAAGGCTCTAGTAGGGCCTCTTCCCCACAACCCTGGGCTGTGGTTATGGGGTGACTTATTAAAATCTAGAATCCTCTTATAAAAAGCCCCCCCCCTCAGATCTCGCCCCGTCCCCCCTTGTAAATGGGTATAAATGATGAGGACAAGGACCTTTTCCCCACAACCCTGGGCTGTGGTTGTGGGGGTCTGCGTGGGGTGACTTATCGGAATCTAGAAGCCCCCTTTAACAAGGCCCCCCACTCAGATCTTGCCCCGTACCCTATTCTAAATGGGTATGACTTGTGAATGTTGATGCTCCATGTGACTGTGCATGCAGCCTTGTGCTGTCATCTGTTGGCGTGTTACAAAACTAGTCATGAAACTTTTTGATACCACCTCATATTTTATTGAGAATGGGGTTAAAAACACTCACAGGAAAATGGTGTCAAACAAGCTCATCATACCATACAGACATGGAAGTAGATCTCCTGTCATGGATCCTCAGTAGCTGACCAGCTGAGATGCAAGATGGCCACCCAACTTCCCGAACCAGCATGGAATGCACCTACCAAAAGTGACATCAGACAAGGGGCGGCTACATATTTCACAGCATGTGCAGAAGCTCCTTTGTCGAACCTGAGTCCCGGGACAGGGGAGCTCGAAGAAATAGAAAAAAAAACGGGCGGGCGTTGGGCGGCACGGTGTTATGGAGAACCATCCAAACACACAACACATTAATATGGGGCAATATGAGGAAATCACACCAAAATATAGCAACCGATAAAAAGACAACGGTTAAATACGTTCACGGATTCTGAAAACTGTATGTAGCACCACCCCCCTTAGGAGTTGCTGAAGATTTGGGCCCAGAGACAGTAAAGAGTCCTTGAGCTTGCATTCCAGAGACAGTAAAGAGTCCTTGAGCTTGCATTCCAGAGACAGTAAAGAGTCCTTTAGCTTGCATTCCAGAGACAGTAAAGAGTCCTTGAGCTTGCATTGAGACATTCCTTGCAGAGACAGTAAAGTAAAGAGTCCTTGAGCTTGCATTCCAGAGACAGTAAAGAGTCCTTGAGCTTGCATTCCAGAGACAGTAAAGAGTCCTTGAGCTTTCATTCCAGACAGTAAAGAGTCATTGAGCTTGCATTCTAGAGACAGTAAAGAGTCCTTGAGCTTGCTTTCCAGAGACAGCAAAGAGTCCTTGAGCTTGCATTCCAGAGACAGTAAAGAGTCCTTGAGCTTGCTTTCTTGAGACAGTAAAGAGTCCTTGAGCTTGCATTCCAGAGACAGTAAAGAGTCCTTGAGCTTGCATTCCAGAGACAGTAAAGAGTCCTTGAGCTTACAATCCAGAGACAGTAAAGAGTCCTTGAGCTTTCATTCCAGACAGTAAAGAGTCATTGAGCTTGCATTCTAGACAGTAAAGAGTCCTTGAGCTTGCATTCCAGAGACAGTAAAGAGTCCTTGAGCTTGCTTTCCAGAGACAGTAAAGAGTCCTTGAGCTTGCCTTCCAGAGACAGTAAAGAGTCCTTGAGCTTGTGTATTGTTTTATCGGGGTATTAAACTTGGATGGGTTGAGGGACGTATGGGATGCCCAAGGGTACTGCAACTGAGGACAACTCCTTAGCACTATGTA